ATCCAAGGAAAAAGGGTCAGAATCCTGGGCCTGGGAGCTGGACCGTACTCTTAATGGCCGGCTCAGCCACACTCCTGCAGAGTGTAGGACAGGAGGGCCAGGTCCCTCGATCCAGGAGACGCCAAACCTCCCTCCCAGAAGCGGGACCGCAGGCCTCCCCTGACGCGTTCCCCAGCCCAGCGCACACGCGGAGGCTCTCAGCACCGGAGCTTCTCAGGCGGCAATTTTTTAAGCCTGCAATTAAGCGAGGCGTCGCCGTGTCCTCTGCTAGTGTCGATCCTGTCAGTCGCACATGGCCTTGGTGCTCCGGTCCGAGGCCCCGCGATTAGTCACAGGCTCGCTTCGCTCCTTCCCTAATCCGCCTCTGCAGGCAGCCTGGGGACGCGGCCGACTTGGCGGGGCTGGCAGGGAGCCACAGCGCGCGGGGCGGGCCGCCTGGCCAGTACCAGCCCCGCTGCAACTAACCCAACACGGGCCCCGGGGTGCGGGCTTGGGACTCCCTCCCCCTTCACAGTCCCCAGGCTGGGGTGGCGGCGCCCCTCCTCCTCTCGCCCCGCTCCGGGGCCTGTGAGATCTATTTGTGTGGTGTCATTTGCATAAAAATAGGACAAGTGTTTCAGTGCGTTCGAACGCGGGAGGCGAAATCCTTATTGATGTGTCTGTGTGGAGCCCTCGGTTGTCGGAGCGGTTTGATTTAGGGTGTTTGTGTTGCCTTCTGCGAGAAATGAGAGGAAATCCTGCGCAACGCCTTCGGCGGTCCGGGCCGCCAAGAGCAACCCCCTCTGCGCAGAGCGGAACGGTCCACTGCCTGGACCCTGACGCGCCGGGTCCACAGTGAGCAGGTTGAGGGCCAGGCGGACGGCCCATTATGACTCATAAAACAGGGCGGCCTAATCACCAGCTGCCAACCCGTTTACGTGTGGCGCTTCCCAATGCTCTTCGCCCGGCCAGGGCCTCCAGTGGGTTCGTCCCAGACACGGCTAGAGCCGCTCAGCGGGGGCTAATCGAGTGACCGCTCCTTCTCGTGGGCAGTCTGGCTTCCCTTCCTGGGCAACCCGCGCGCTCTCGGCCTTTTTGCCTCGCCAGGAACTCCTCAGCTTGGACAAATAGCTGGGAGGGCGCCGGCCGTGCGGAGCCAGTAAATCAATCATTAACTCCCCAGCGAGACCTGGCCAGGGGAGGGAGCGGCAGCCAGAGGCGAGGCCGTGGGGTGGGCTGCGGGCACCATCCCTAGGTTGGGAGCAGTACATGCGCCAGCGGACAGAGTGCGTGAAGGCTGGTCCCCCAGGGCCTCCCGATCTCCTCCAGAAGATTCCGCCTGACAGGCCTTTCAAGCCTGCACCTCGCCTCGCCTGGCAGGTCGAGTTACTGCGCGGCCCCGGGGCAGGCTTGAACATTAACGAGCCGCCCCGGGCCTCGCGGCCTGCTCTCCCTGGGAGAGCCTGCCGTGCTTGGGCAAGCTCCTTGGGTCCAGTCGGGCTCCATCAGACTCCGACTTGCCAAACCAAATTGATCGCCCCGGTGTCGACCAGTTTCCTTGCGCCTCCCTCCCCACGGAGCCCACCATAGGGCGGCACACAAGGAGTTAAAAGCTCCAGTTCGCCCTGGCTCCTCCGCGGCGCAGAGGAAGTGCTGATCAAAGTGCTTATGGGGAAGGAAACACACGCACACTCGGGCCTGGGTCGAAGAAGGCCGACTGGAGAGACGGCTCGGAACTGCCCGCCTCGACCCGCTTCCCACACTCCCAAGAACGCAGTGGTGGCGGCGGCAGCGCTGGCCCGTGCGATTCTCTTCGCGGAGCTCGGCGCTGCGGGGCTGGGAGGACAGCGGGGAGGGAGAGGGATGAGAGGCGGGAGGCGAGCCCGGGCTGAGCGCCAAGAGGCCCGGAGCCGCAGATTAGTCACCGTTCGGCTTGGCGCTCACGGGTGTGCCCGGGAACCGGGAGGGCAGGCATCGGCCCCGCTTAATCGGGCTCCCGGGACCTGGGCGCCGCGGCGCAGATGCCCCCGCTTCCACCCCCATGAGCGCCCGGCACACCCGGCTGGACTCTCCCAGGCCCGCGCTGCCGAGATTCAGTTGTCAGTTCAAGGGCAGGACAGAAACTCTGCAAGCAGAGTCTCGCGAACAGGAAATTTCTCATTGACAAGGTGCTGCCCCTCCCCCACGCCCGGCTTCAAAACAAAACAAAAAACCCAGCGCCAGCAACCAACGCAGTCAGCCTGGGCCCGCCGCTGCCTCGGCGACCCCCGCGTCTGTGCCCTGGCCCGGGGAGTGGAAAGCTCGCCAAACCCCGGCCCCTGAGCGCCGGCGCAAATAAACAGGCCCGGCGGGTAGGCTTGTCTGAGGCCCTGCTGAGGGCGCCCAGCTGCCACCCCCCGGGACCCGAGCAGGGTCGGACGAGTACGCTGAGCGCAAGAGGCTCCTTGCCCTCTTGGGTGAAGAACCCCGCAGAGCGGCTTTGCAGAGCTGCTGAAGGCCGCCAGGTCAGCGACTCCGTGGGGGAGGGAGCGGGTAAGCGCGGAGGCTGCGCGGCGCGGGCGACTTGGTGAGTCCCGCCGCGGGGAACCAGGAGGGCTGCGAACTCGGCCTGGCAAAGTTCCCGTGGAAACTCCATGTTTAGAAACTCCAGCCGCGTTGCGGGAGGAGTGGGGGAAGAGAACTCCTGGGGCGCCCGAGGTCTGCCCACACCCGCCTGTCACTTCCCCAGAGGGGGTCAGCATCCCCCACCCCCAGCCTAATGAGAAGTCAGGAGGGCGGAGATGGCAGTCCCCGGGCTGCTTCTTTTGTGTATGCCCCTCTTTACTCCACACTCTGAATGAAATTTCTAAACCGTTTTATTTATTGAATTCAGCTAGAGGAGGAAGGCTGCCTTTTTAGGGACTCTAATATTCAGGGTAATTTTGTATTTGACACATGTAAATACTCAGTACTCTCAGGTAAGGTCAAATTATTTATCATCTTAATTTATATTTCAATAGGCCTACAATTTAGAGGCACGAAATGCCTTCTTATGAATCATTATGGTCTATTAGGGGAAGTAATGTATAAACAGCACTATTTGGAAGGGAATCACTTATGTTGACATTTAAATGGCTCTTCAATAGTTAAAAAAAAAAAGACATTCGAGTGCCTTTGATTAAATATACAATTTACAAGACCATCAGCAAAGCCATCAGGAATATAAATTCTTCTTGAGATTTTTATTTATTTCTGATTTTTTTTTTTTATCCTTCCAGGGCACTCATGTCATTTAATTTCTTTGGGAAAATCTACAAATTTCAGACAAAATATCCTTCTCCTCTCCCCCGGCTAATGTCCTATCAGGAACCCAGGGAACCACTGGAAATGTAAACGGACTCCACCAGCAGACACTCCAGTGGGAAGTTTGTAGATCTCCACCTCAGCAACAGAATCAACCACTTTCTAACAATATTGCCACTGGATTGTGAAACATCCTAGCTTCCTTGCTGGAGTGGAACCTTTCTGAAACCCTGTGTTCATCTATCCATTCTGATGTTCCCACAGCACCCAGCACAGAGCCTCAACCCATTTTGTCTTTCTCCTACACCTGCTAACATACCATGTAGAGGCTCTTCTTGGCAGAATTATTGAATCACCCTGTGTATTCATTCCTTTGGAGCATTCCCCATCTTTAGAATGTCCTTCCTTGACCCCCCACATCCCCTTCCCTGGCTCCCTATTTGTCTGCTCCCTTGCACAGCTGTACTTCTTGAAAGAGGTATATACATCTATGCGGCATCTCTATTTCTTACCTCCATTTCTTACTTCCTGTGCACTCTAAAACTCAGCTAGTTTTTAAGTTATTCTAAGATGTTGGGATAATTGTTGTTTGTTACAGCATAAGATTAGGAACAACCTAAATGTCCAGCAATGGCATTGATGATACATGCACAGGATGGAATATTCTGTAGCTATTTAAAAAATAAAGATCTGCTCTGTGAACTGATCTGGAATGACCCCAAAGCTCTATTGTTAAGGAAAGACATAGGTGCAGAGGGAACCTCTGCAGGTATGTATAGTACGTTACAATTTGGGTATGTTACAGTTTGTGTAAAAACAAAGTAGGGGGTAATGCAGACATATATTTATTTGTATGTGCATTAAACATTTTCAACACTGCTGGAGATCACCCCACCACCACCACCACTTTCTTTGTACATATGCATGTCCGCCCTTTTACTTTCAGAAATGGGAACACACTGCACAAGCTGTTCTGTACCTCACTATGAAACATATTGCTACTTACAGATAATTTTCTATCAGCACATGGAGATGGGCCTTGTCTATGCCAAGGCTCGTGGAATTCCACTATATAGATACTCCATTTATTACACTCTTCAACCCACGCCTCCATTCTCCCTGGCCATTCTGCAGAAGGTGCTCAAGATCACCAGTCACTTCTTGTTGCCAGGAGTGAGGGATGTTTTTTCAGTCCTTCCTTTGGTCTTGGAAGTACTTAATACCCCTGACCACTCACCCTCACTCCCCCCAACTGCTCTTGGCTTCCCAGATGCCATACGCGCATGGTTTTCATCCTATCTCTGAGCCTCTTTCTAGGCTCTTCTCTATGATCTACTAGTTGCCTTGGGACTGGATCCTCCCCCCACCCCACAACCTCATCCAGGCCCGTGGATTTAAATACCACCTACTTGTTGATGACTCAATTTTTTTCCAGTTCCAGATCCCCATATCAAATTGCAGACCTGACATCTCACTCAAAAATGATGGAGTTAGGATTCGAACCCAGGCAGTCCAAGCTCCAGAGTCCATGTTCTTAGCCACCCTGCTTCACTGCCCCCAGAGCATTCCTAAAACTGAATTCCTAAAAGAATTCATCTACAAATATTTGGGGGTACTTACTAAATGCCAGGCCCTAGGGAAACAGTGGTAAACAGGACAAACTGTCCCTTGAAAAGGGACGAGCTCTTCTTTTGAAACCTGCTCTTTGTCCCAACTCTTTTCCCTGTTAGAGAAAAGGTGTCAGCCACTCAAGTGTTTTAAGCAAAATCCTGGGGATGGGTGGTGGTGGTGTCATTCTTGACCTATCTCCTTTGCCTGGCACCTCACGTTCCTCCATTCCACTAGAGGCTAACTGATTCTACTTACAAATGTTCTATGCAATAAACCTACTCCTTACCATTCTCCCACATCCCCCTGAGGCCAGGCCACCATCTTCTCTTGCCTGGGTTAGGATATAGGATTTTTATTTCAGCTGGTTTCTTATACTGCCATGCTCACCCCCTCCAACCCATCCTTCACATGGTAGCTAGAAAGGTCTTTTGAAAATATGTCATATGTCACTACTCCACTAATTCCCACTGCACTTAGAACAAAACCTAAACTCCTTAACAAGGCTTACCATCCTTGTCACATCCTGGCTTGCCACTGTCTACCTCACCCTCTCAGGGCCAGCACATAGGCCTGTTGTCAGCTCCTTAATAGGCTCTGAGTGTCCCTCCCTCTGCTGTTATCTCCCCAACAAGACTGTACATTCTGTAAGGACAGGGCATGTCATAGCTGTGAACTAAGTTTGCATCAATGTCCAGCAATGAGCATGTATAAACATAACATTCATGGCTGTATCCCATGTTTAACACAGTACCTGGCACATATAGATGCTAAAAAAATACTGATAAACAATAAATGAATGAGTAAATAACACATTTTTGCTAACCGAAACAATATTCTATACCAGTGGTCCCCAACCTTTTTGGCACCAGGGACGGGTGCTCCTATGAGAACCTAATGCCTGATGATCTGAGGTGAAACTGAGGTGGTGATGCTAGTGCTGGGAAGTGGCTGCAGATATAGATGAGGCTTCGCTTGCTCACTGTGCGGCCCACTTCCTAACAGGCCACAGATCGGTACTGGTCCACGGACTGGTACTGGTCCATGGCCCAGGATTTGGGGATCCCTGTTATATGCCATGGACAGAGAAGAAACCAAATTCAAGAGAGCAAGACAATTGTGGGTATGTGCTAAAGGAAAAGGGGAGTGCCTAGGTTTGCAGGGAGTGACTCTGTAGTTCTGTTGAGGACTGAAGTAGAAGAAATTAGGAAAGGAAAGCATGAAGCCAGGGGTGCCATTATAATCTGGGGGGATCCAAGGGAGACCCATGAGAGTGTGGGATACGTGTATACAGGGCTTTGTCAGAGGAGCCAAGGTTCTTGGGTGTGCATGTTGGGGGAAGACCTTGGACATCTTATCCTCGCTAAGTACTGCAGAATATCATCCCCAAGAGATGAGACAAGGGACATCTTAGCCAAGAGCAAGATAGAGCTAAAACCAGAACCTGGAGTATTTGCCTGTTGCCAACCATTTGCTTCTTACTTGGTGGCAAAAGAGTAAGATTGTCTTTCTTCTTAGGACCCTCAGAAACCAGAAGAGTGGGTTCTGGCCACAGTCGACCTTGGGCGGTTGGAGCTCTCTCAATTCCATGACATCTGACTTCTAACAGTAACTGTCACTACAAAGCATTTAATAGCAGAGTAAATCTTTTTTTTTTTTAGAGTAAGTCTTTTTTAATGATGAATAATCCAATCCCTACATGATAATAATAGCTACTGTATATTAAGGGTCTTCACTCTTCTCAGTTACTTTACTAGGTTCATTTTCAAGTTACCTCATGAGCCCCCAAATTGCCCTATAAGTTATTACAATTCACATTTTATAGTTGAGGAAACTGAAGCTCTTACAATTGCCCTCCCAAATGCATATGTAATCTAGCAGAGTTTGGCTACACCGATTCTGACTCCAAACCTGGGCTCTTTCCAATTAAGTATATTGTTTGCCTCCCACACACATGCACTGTTCCCCGAAACCTTAAAATATTTCTGATTTCTGAGATCAGATCCTATAGAGTTTCTCCAATCATGTCCCTCGAGGGTCGTCCTGGCAACTGGCCGACTGCAGTAAATAACACAAAAGGAGTTTGTTTCTTTCTGAGATCAGCAGGTCTCAGCTGATCTGTTGTGTTCACCATAGGAACCTAAGAATTTATCATCTGAATGAAGAGTTGACTTACTCCCAGGTAA